ACAGTTGGGGTAAGTAAGGCTTAGGCCAGGGCAGGCACTTGATTATTATTGGGACGTGTTAAGGTGACAAGAAATTGCAAAACCACGCCGATCCATCAGCATAATTATCATATAAGTATCACTTTTCGCGAATTTCTTTACATGCCTGTATTTGCAAACACACAGGCTCACTGTGGGCACTGCGGCGCTGGCAAGACCTCGGTTTCACACTTCCTGTGTTATTTTAACTGACTGCTGTGAAGAAACAGTGTCTGACGATATAAACGTTTACAGGTGTAACGAATTTACGTATAACAGAGCCCGAGCGTCACCCGGAATGTCCGCCTTCGATTAATGAATGTTACCGTATCTTCTGCTAGTTTCCTCTGTACAAAGCGTCTCCTCTCGATTCCAAAATGCTGAACGCAAGACGCCTTCTTCCAGATTTTAACCGGCTGATTTGAATATACATGACCGCCTCTGTGGTCTAGTGGTCAGAGTTCCTGGCTACAGATCCAGAGGTCCGGGTTCGATTCCCGGAGCTACCAGATTTTCTGAGAAGTTGTGGGTCTGGAACGGAGTCCGCTCAGCCTCGTGAGGATAATTGTGAAGCTATTTCAAGGAAATAGCGGCTCCGGTCTAGAAAACCGAAATTAACGGCCGTAGGGATTCGTTGTGCTGACCACGTGACACCCGCTATCCGCTAAAGTTGGCACTAACTTCGCCGACAAGCGGCGGTCGCTCGGTCGGTATAGTTCGCTTGCGGACTCAAGTCACAGAGTTCAGTTTTTTTTTAGTTTTAGATTGGAATATACCCTATTAGGAGGATACAGAAATTTTAATCCTCCAACAACAAACAAAATCTTCCAATGTCTATTCAACAGGAGTATAGAACAGCACAAGAAGCAACAGGGGTTTCTTTTAACAAAGAACTAAACAACAGAGAAGAAATGTTGATTCTCCTCATTTCCTACTCCAGATAAGGAACGTCAATACCGCGTGCAGACGGCTCGCAACATTAATGATTTTAGTGAAACATGGTTTGAGCTTCCTCAGGATGGGGACCAGTGGAGGGTTCTTGTGAACACGATAATGTACCTTCGGGTTCCATAAAATACTGGGCAATTCTTGAGTAGCTGCACAATTGGCGGCTTCCCAAGAAGGGCTCAGCTCCATGAGTGAGTGAAACAGTAGTTAGCGAAATAATACATGACCTTTATATAGAGGAAACGGAAGTACAAACTGTGTCGGGTCGATAAGTGAAACATGCAAAGTCGATCATTTTTAGGTGTATCACGCGATTGGATTTTAAGTGGGACGGGGAGGGGGAAATGGGGCTGTTCTAATATAAACCCAGGATATGTGAGAGATAGGGATGTCTTACTTGAGATACACGAACAGTTTGGGTAGGGCCGCAAAAATTCTGTTTATGCTGATGACTCATTCCTGTTGTTTTCACACGCTACGAACAAGTTCTAGAGCAATGACAGATATGAGGGCTCATTGTGTAAAGGCCATTGATTATTTAATAATGCTGGCCAGGAAAACGGTATTGTGCCAAACGCTCCGAATATGCTGAAATGAACACAAGCAAGAGACTATTATCATCAGATGAATAAAAGTAATACTTTATGAGAAACTGAAGAAAGGGAGGCGAATTTCAAATTTACTTTCGAATTCTGTCATCTAACAATGGCTGTTACCACAATGTTCTTCTTGAGAAGTCCGTCTTCTAGCACGAGAAATGCAAATGACAAAATGGGTGGCAGAAAGAAGAATTCTTTGTCAATACGAAATTCTCAAACCAAAGCCTGAAGTCCTCATAAAATTGCACATGCCAAAAGATTAGAAGAGTACTGTACTGTCGTGGCTATGGTGTTCTTCGTGTTACCTTATTATTCAGATCTGAATCCAATATAAGAATAAAAGCAAGTCTAGAGCGAATGAATCTTTGTTTGGAAAAGGTTTCAGCAGATGATACAAGATTGGCTTCAGTTGTGCGAGAAGATGAAGTAGACCGCAAAGGAGACAGCATTGCGGATAATCATTAAATATGTAATTACTGTTATGTGTCTGGGTTCCGTGACGAATAGTAACGGGCTCTGAATTGCATGACCGGATTCATTAACACTTTCGTTCACAATTTCTCTTAATCACAATCAGTTATAGCGCCATCGCTAATCTACCCACGTCACAAATGACTAGGACACGCTATACGTTTCCTAGCAACGGCTATATCAGAAGAACTGTCACTTCATATAACTATGAGCCTTCTTGCCATTTCCTGCAGCTGCCAATTCCGAAGACTCGATTCAATTCTCTTCCGACTACTGCTCTGTACTCCTACAACAACTGCCAGTTTCGGAATTCACCTCTCTTATAACCACTTTGCAAGGACCCAACGGAAAACACAGCCTTTATTGTTAACAATACTGTTTACCGCGCTGCTGCCTAGCATTAGACGTCCTACTGTTGCGTGCTCGTGTGTTGGGGGAATGTGTTTACTGAGTCGTTGCCTAGCAATGGTCGTATTCGTCACATTATATTCATTTTGTAATGGTGATATGCGTATTGATGTAAGTGTATGCATAATTAATTATGTAACAAAGAGCTGTAAAACTGTGTGATTACATACACTGCACATATTCATGAATCTGCATGATGTTTTCTGAATTGAGGTTATGACGTTCTCTACGCTTCCTCGCTGGACCAAGCGGTGACCCACGGAACGTAGGTCAACTGCTTACATTCTGAGTGCATACTACAGCTCCCGCTGCCCGAACCGATTATTTAGAACTGCTGCAGATGAAAGCGTAGCGGTCAACTTCACATTCCAACAAATTTACTTCCGAGGAAAATGAAGCCGGTATCAATGGGACAGACGGCAGAGTCGACCCGAGAGCCAATCTCGATGAGACACTCACTGCAAGGAATAGAATTCCGATAGTCCAGTCCTTGTAACTGATTCATATAGTGAGCCAAAAAAACTGTAACACTTAACGCAAACTGTTTTGATCGCTAAGGAAAAAGAAAAACAAAAAATGGAAAAGCTGGCAGTTGTAAAACAGCAGGCTAGTTCTAACAGATCCTCGGAAAATGTCACGATCATTTCATACTGTCTAAGAATTATCATTTGAATATCAAATATCAAAACATCACTCTGGTCGCTAAAGGGAAACAAAAATGGAAAAGTCGGCAGTTATAGAACAGTAGGCTATTTTTGAGAGACTCTCGGAAAATTTCAGAATAATTTCATGATTTGTAAGAGTTATCGCTTGAACATCATATACGTGATACGGATCACAACATTATTGTTTGGTCTCTTAGCCACTTTGCGAGGTTAAATGGTTCGTTCTAAATTTGAAAATATGTAAACAACTGAAACAGCTAAATTCAATTACAAAGGCCTAATGAAAACAAATTCGATACTGTATCTCATACAATTATTCTTTCCTTCCTATGACGAGGCAGCCTTGGCCGAAAATCATGCACGATTTTGAGAGGTGTGATCTGAAGGTACAGAACAGTGTTGGAGGGATAAAGGCATGTTTCGACAATGCGATGGCCGTCACTAAACACTTGAATGGAAGAAGTGAAAGACAGTGATCATAAACAAACCGTAAAAAGAAATTTACACAAGTGACTGGCGGAAATGGTTTCTGGGAGGAGACTGGAATAATTAGCAGTTCATAACCCGTAAAATGGTGAGTCAAAATTAACATTTTATATAGTTTCATAAGGAAGTCCTACATAAGATCACGCTCAAGTCTCTTCATTTCCGTGGAGTCTCGATTTAACACATTTACTGTGTTCTAGTCGCCTACAATAACTCGACTATGTTTCGCGTTTCGTCATGTGCTGCTGCCATCTTTTGTGATTCACATATTTTACACTAACTGCATTACGAGTCCTTAAATGTGATCTCTTACTGTCTCTCCTCCATCAAAAGAATATATTGTCTAGGGATGAAATTCGTATTTGTAATTCAAGCCTAGCTTCTAAGACCCTTCCTATTGGTTATAAAGTTCCTTATTTTACATTGAAATTAAAGTTTGGGTCTATTCTTGTTGGTTTCAAGGATTTTCAGGGAAATGCCTGGACAGAAACCTCAAATATTCCAGCGCCATCTTTTCTAAACGATTATCTACCGACAATTCATTAACAACCTTCAAATATAATTCGGCTCTACGCATCTGCGTGTTTGTAGGTAATTAAAGAACATCCTTTTCAAACAGACTCCTTGGCTGGATGATCAGAGCATCATAATGCCCCCAAATTTCGATGAGGGTATGGAATTCTACAAAGAGCGGACGAACGAAAGCGTTCGACACCATCAGCCATAATAATTAGGAGAAACCCATGAATACGAGTTCCGTATGTCTGGCCTGAACGAGCCTCTCAAGAATCAGTAGCTGATATTGCTAAGTGCAGAACACAGCCGTAAAATACTCAACCCTGTCTTCCTTCTGGTCATTTTAATCTGCCCTACCTGTGGACTACTGACGAGTTCCGGATATTGCACTGTTCCGGAAAAGAAACGACCCGTTAAAACTTGATGGCTCAGCGAAGTAAAAACCGACACGTCACGCTAAAGAGCAATGAACACAATGTGTTGTTTTAAATTAACATGCAACTGGGCAGGTATGTTCCGAATTTCCAAATGTGTTCTTTCCTACTTTTAGTCCTACAATTCGCCCTGATATCAATTTATTTCAGATATAACAATGAAGCATAAATGTACTTTCACTCGATGTTTGCTGGTATGTTTGTGACATCGTCTCTTACTTTGAAGGAAGAACATAATTACAAATGTTTGAGAGTTCAGAAAAATATTTTAACCTATGGGTGTTAGACCTAAAATAAGCAAGCGTTGAAAAACACAGTGATTGTTAAGTAGCTCGCTTATAGCATTGTTAGATTGAATGTAGGATGTTACGACAGGCTGGACATGTAATCAGATCCTGGACTAGTAACGCAAATTACTGTAATTTCGTTAGTACAGTATGAGTAGAGATGGTCACCTCAGCATGAAGAACCTGCTTTGTGCTGACCAGTACTGGCCGGCCTGCCACGCTCCAGAGATGGCGACTGACCTCTGTGAGATTCTGGCCCGTGACATCACAACCGGGAAATGGTCAAGGTTGCTTCTTATGAAGGTTCCTTATCGTCTGGTGGTGACTGAAAACATTCCTGTATTATATAACCCAGATAAAATTAATCATAAAACATCAGCGGTTTAGTGTAATTGTGTCATGTTTGCAGACGCTCTAAGGTAGGGCAACGTGGGGTAATTTGTCGCTGTGGTTAATTAATTAAGATCCAACACTCTTGACCTTGAAATCGGATGGAGTTAAATGTTCAGCTTCAAGACCTGGCCGCTTTACCCTTAGGGAAAGCTCCCCTAGTAGCCATTGGATAGGAGGTTGGGTGGATCCCAAAGACGGTTTGGAGGCTGTGGAGAAGAGAAAAACGTCTAACCCTGCTAGGAATCGAACCCGTACCCCATCGCTATACCGACTGAGCTATTCTGACTCCGAGACAAGCAAGGCATAAAAAATAGACACAAGAATGTACAAAGCACTGAGACTCAAATCACTTCTTTTGGTCCCACGCGGAATTCGGCAACTTCTGGAAACCAGCGTTTTTAACTTACTGGGTTCAGACGTGCTTGTAACGTGCTTCTTAAAATTTTAAATATAACCTACCATATGCTTTAGAGACTCCAGAACTACACGCCTTGGGCAAAGATCATTCGCAGTATACCTACATTCAATTGAAACTCGTATAGAACCGAATTAAGTGATATTATTAGTAACGAACGACCTTGAATTAGTTATATTTGGTGTTATTTACGTGCACGTCTCACTTTAAAACTAGTGAGGTAGCTCATTACAGTGCATCAGATCATAAAGTGCGACTATTAAAGCTGGAAAACCAACGAAGCGCACCTTCCTTGAAACAGTATTGCTTATTCAACATTCACAGCAACACCAGGCTGCGTCCCTGGACGGAACTACCGTCGTTCTATGGGAGCTGAAGCATGTAACTCATCTAATTACCCAGTCACCCTGCATTTTATCTTTCAGGAAGAGATCACCTGAAATTGCCTACTTCACGAAGTCACCCAACCTGTGGCGCTCAATCCCAACATTATTTCCTACATAAATCCCACACGAATTCGATCCTAATTAATTAATTAAATACGGAATAGCCTGCATCTTTCGTTTTTCTGACACGAAGTCCGGCGGATAAAGTCTTTTGTGCATATGAACGGCTAGAGCCTTTCGTGGTTTCTCTCAGTTTCTCCAGACGAATGATCAGATATTACTTTCCTAACGATTCCAGATTTAAACACTGTCGGATACACGTCGTCAGGCTTCCTGTGGGTCGACTGATGAAAATAATCAAACTTTCAGTGTTTACATTTTTGTTTCCTTATTACAGAGGGTGAATAAAAAAAACACTAATCATACAGGATGTCGTAACCACCGTGTGTCCTATTTTCAAATCTTCGAATGCTTCCTAGAATTTTTGGTTTTCCTTTATTTCGTTTTTCTCCAGTTACGGCTCAGAAGAAAAAAATATGAGCACATACATTAAGTATCCTGTGACTTATGTTACAAATTTGGTTTTCTTTTTGTTTTCCTCCATGAAAAGAAAATAAATTATTATCCGCAATTTTTATTCTAATCGACGTTTAGAATGTAAAATTGTATCGCACACAGCCCACTTTCAAGTATTCCGTGCCTGACTTACTATATCTGGAACAACATGTCGTCGCTATAAGACGTGCAAAAGTTGATGAAATAACTTCTCTAGAATTATTGTTATCCGAGGATTTGGATTATTTCATACACTGATTTTGACTTCACCTTGTAGTGCTGAGCAGACGGAAGTACATCTAATAAAACAACAAACTACGTGGCCTGTAGTCCACAAACGAACTATACCGACCGAGCGACCGCGCCTTAGGGAAAGCTTAGTGCCAACTTTTGCGGATAGAGGATGTCACGTGGTCAGCGCAACGGATCCCCAGGTCGTTAATCTCGGGTTTCTAGACCGGAGATGCTACTTCCTTGAAACAGCTCCTCAATTATCCTCACGAGGCTGAGTGGACCCCGAAACAGACTCACTACTTCTCAGAAAATCTGGTAGCGCCGGGAATCGAGACCCGGAACCTCTGGATTTGTAGCCAGGAACTCTGACCACCAGACCACAGAGGCGGTCAAGTACATCTAATAGATACATGAATAAATAAATACAAAATTAAGGAAGAAACTGACGACGCGTTGAAGGAAAACGTTTGACCTACGCTGATATAAAACGAGTTGAAAATTATACACATGCCAATTTCTAAACAAGTGAATGAAGGCAATAACGGTGACACGATAGCAATAAAGACGACAGTGCCAACAAGCACACAGGTATCATACTCACTCCTGCAGCAGGGACGTGAGTAGAAATCAAGTTGTTATGTTGTGGTCAGGTTATACGAGTATGATCAATTGATAATAATTCTGTACTTGTACGTAGCGGCATTCTCTCATTCCGCATTATATTCTATATAACGTGCAATTTAAAAAATTAATTAAAATCAGTCACACACATCTATTGAGAACATAATCTATGGATCACATTGAGCTAATTATTTCTGAATTGTTTTGCGATTCTGTTCGTAGTTCTTAGTATACAACTTCGGAAATTAGGGTAATCCAGTGAGCTGGAAAGGATATGGAAGAACATGGTTATGACCTAACTGGAAGCATTATCCCGGCATTTGCTTGAGACTGAGGAAAACTGGAAAACCTTAAGACAGAATATTGTCACGTGTTGGGTATGTCACGCGACAAATAACTTCACGTGGGTCTCGGATTTAGCGAACCTTTATTGGACACTCACACACCGTACAATTATCACCACTTGCAGTATCACTTGACTTCTGGCCCAGTACTCCAATGCGACGTCTCAACTATCCTTGGCCGTGGCTGGATCTCAACTGTCTCTGGCGGCGGCTGTCCCACGACCGTCTCGTTCTCAGTACTCAATGCTCTGTACGAAGTCTCTGGCTCTGCTTATATAGGGGCTATGCGGACCGGATACCGGACACCATTCCTCAGGCTTCCGTTTCCGCTGTTCAGGCAGTCCGTTGTTACGGGAACGTTCCTTATAGGTTACACGGGTAACGTGTCTCGTCTCATCCGTTGTTACCCAACGACAATTCGTTGCTACGATTTGTCACTGCGGGAACTTCCCAATTTCCACGTATTCTTTGTCGTGGAAGTGTCCGTTCCGGTTGTAGGGGTGATGGAGGTAAGGTAACGCGTCACAATATCTTACTTCTGAGCCGAGACTTGAATACTGGACATTCAAGATTAGAAGCGGGGGACACACGCGACAGGGATGTTCAATCTATGCATTTTAATGCCTCAAGAAACGGTAAAAAAAAAAGTAAAGCTATCCCTGTAACAGGCTGTGAAGGCTCATAGAGTTGTGAGACGTTGAGGGTCCCACATTATCTAGACAATCGGCTCAAAGATGGCGGTAAGGTTGTCAGCCTTACGCGCCGGCCGCGCTTTACTCCGCAGGAAAATTATTTAGTTAATTCCTGGTACTCATTTCTGTTAGAGGCTCAGTGAACCCCAGGGCCATAGTGCGGCTGGAAGGATTAGGTCAATTGAAAAAATCCAATGACCCCATCGAGACGTGAACCCGCGACCTTCCGACTTGTAGGCTCCTATTTTTACTATGAAGAAGCGAGTGGAGAATTTTCGAGATAGAATCATAAAAAAATCAACTCGATTCGAAAGTTATTTTTTTTAATATCAAGAATTTCCTGAAAACCTTCATAACAACAAATTCTAAAGCAAAGTTGAAAAGCAGTGGCGATAAAGCATCTCATTGATTTAAGCCATTCTGGATAGGAAAATTATCAGACAGATGTTTACCTATATGGAATACATTTTAATCAGCCTAATTTTTTTTCATCGCCAACCCAAACTCTATCAGAATACTGTACAATTCTTCCTTCCTAACCGATTTATGGGATCTCTGAAGTCTACGAATAGTTGATGTAATGTCTCATTGTACCCCGATTGTTTCTCCAGTATCTCACGAATGCAAAAGATCTGATTAGTTAGTAATTGATCTGTTACGTCGAAACCCACACTGATGATCCCCAATAATTTTCTCTGTTTATTGACTTAACCTTGAGAGATGGTACAATAGACCAGAAATGGCCGCAGTACAAGGCACTTAGTCCCATCCCACTAGCAATAAAAACAATAACAACTTTGAGAGAAGGATATTGGAAAGTTTTTGTATAAAGATGATAGCAGTGATATCCTATGATAATTACTACATTCGGTGTTATCGCCCTTCTTGCAAGTTAAAACACTGGATGAAGAAAATAAGAAAGTATTCGTAATTTTGACGGAAATGGCAGACAGAACAAAAAAAAACTATGTATGTCACTGAACTGAAAAACTATGCCTCAGGTGCAGGCGCTTTATGGGGCTAATGCTCTTGTGTTACAGTAGGATGACAAAATGAACTGATGAAAGAGTGGATAAAAATTTAAGAGTTCTTATCTTCTGGGATATAATGTCGTGTAGTTCATGAAAGTCAACCAGCGTTTAGAAGGAATACGCCTCCATCTACAGCGTCGCTGAATAAGCCAAGCAAAATGCAACTCTTCGACCATGAAGATGGAGACAACACGTTCCCTCGAAACATCGGATGACATTCAGAAACTAAACTGCATATTCCAGAAGAACTGTGAGAGCCTCAAATCATACACGGACACAAGTTGTCCAGAACAGAAGATCCAGTATATTTAAGAAAACAATGAATGATTGTGCTGGATAAATTTGCGGGCAATTTACCGCTGGAGGTCATA